TGCGCGGGCCGAGACTGTGTCGACACCGCCCACCCCTGGCTCCCGCAGAAGGTGCGGAACTTGGCTCTAAACGAGGCCCAGCAGTCGGAGGAAACTGAAACCCAAAGAGGGTGGGTCTCGGGCCGGATCACCCAGCCGCCAGTGGAGGCCAGGGCCCGGAACTGGGAGCTGCGGGCTCCCTGAAAAGGCTCTGATTGCGGTCTGGTGGTTATCTCCGAAACAAAACTCCATTTCTGCCCGCCCGCCCGGAAGGTTCGCGGCACATTCCTCCTCACCCCTGCCCTTCACACCACCGGCAGCGGGGACTTACCAGACGCCTAGGCTTCCTTCCCGACTCAAGGCGCCCGGGCACTTGCGCAGAGCCCGGGGGCGAAAGGGAGGCACAGGCGCTGGACGGTCGTGCTGCCCGGCGGGATGGCATCCCCAGCGGTGGCTCCCCCTGCCGCTGTCCCTGGGGCCTGACGGACGGACCAGGACCGTCTTATCGGACTGGAACACCGCAGAGCCAGCCGCGGCCGTCGCACTCTGCACGCCCTCGCACCCTCCACTTCGGCAGCCCCTGGGCCTAGCTTAGAGACCCCCGTAGTGGCGGGCCTGGGGGCAGCCTGAGCTTGCTGAGTCAGTCGTGGCTGAGTGGCCCCGAAGGAAGGCTTTGGGCGCTCTGTTCTTCCTGGCCGTTCCGGTCGCTTCTGCTTGTTTTGTCGGCGGATCAGCTCTTCAGCCGGGGTTTAAGCCCTTACCTTGGCTGCAGCACACATACATAGGGAGCTGGGGGTATCAAGAGTCAAAAAGCGGAGCTGGGTGTTGCTTTCCAGACTGAGGCCTAGAATGTTAGCAAGCCCTCGACTGTAGACTGGGCGTGGGAGCGGTCTCTGTGTGCCTAGAACTTCACCTGCCACAGGTAGACACCCAACCCATGTTAGTAAAATGAAGATGTGCATGGCAGGCTAGGGGTCAAGCTTCCTGGTACCCTGACACCACTGACCATTGTCTGCCTCAGATCCCAGAAGTCCTAAAGGTTTTAGTCTCTCAGTATGGGTAACTATTCAGACTATCATATACGAGGGAGGATGGACCTCCACAGGTGTTATTTCAGTGGCTGCCTGGCCCCCATAAGCACCTGCGTCATAGGTAGCCCACCTCTCATGAGCAGGTTCTGATGAGGATCATTGGCAGAAGGAAGGCAAAAGTCCCATGGCTGAAAAGTAGTGAAATGGCCCCTCTAGCAGGGAAGCCTGGATCTCTGAGGTGAGCTCTGGCTTGGAGTCAGTTTCAAATTGTGTCACCTCAGCTCCCTGGGGAAAAGCAAGGCAGTCAGATGGGCAAGAAAATCAGGGTCTGGACAGTCCTTACTAGGCCCTGAAAGATTGATTAGTGATGCAGAAATTGTGCATATTTAAACCTTTCCTCATCTAATGAACCAAAGGACTGGTACAGGCAAGGAAGACCACTCCATCGAATTCCAACGGTTGCTTAGCATGCCGTGGAGTGGCCTGGGAGAATGGCCTTTGCCCACAAGGAATTAGATGTAGACCACGTGAATGGAATATATACTAAGTCTCTCTATGCTGAAGACGGGATGGGGGATAGAGGAAAAATGTATTTCCTTGGATTTTTTTTCCCACTCCTGGATATGACTGGGGAAAGAGGTTACCAACAGTGTTTACCATATTAACACCCTGTGAAGGTTTTTCACAGATACTAAGGATAAAAAAAATCACCTTGGTAATAGGAACCAAACATTGGCTGTTGACTGTAGTTGATGTAGTATTTATGTTAAATGATGAAAAAAGGAAATAGAGGACTTCCCTGGTGGCTCAGTGGTTAAGAATCCTCCTGCCAATGCAGGAGACACGGGTTCAAGCCCTGGTCCAGGAAGATCCCACATGCCACGGAGCAACTAAGCCCATGCGCCACAACTACTGAGCCTGCACTCTAGATCCTGAAAGCCACAACTACTGAGCCCATGTGCCTAGAGCCCGTGCTCTGCAACAAGAGAAGCCACCGCAATGAGAAGCCCACGCACCGCAACGAAGAGTAGCCCCCACTCGCCACAACTACAGAAAGCCTGTGCGTAGCAACAAAGACCCAACGCAGCCAAAAATTAATTAATTTTTTTAAAAAAAGGAAATAGGAAGTTTCTTTTCAGGAAATAAGTTACAACTAAGCAAGTGACTTCCATGTCCCAATTTCCAAGGTTTTCTGTTTGTTTCATACAGACATTACTGTCATGGGTTCCTGGACAAGCAACTGGTCTCATTTTCCCTTATAGAATGGATGGCATTGGAAGACTATAGATTACAATTCATATTTCCACACCATGTTCTGTTGTAATTGTATTTGACAGGAGCTTATCACTCAGGCACAGACTTAATCCATTTGTTGCCAGTCCCCCTAATGATCTCTTGAGTTTGGGCCATCCCCATATTCTACAAGGGAAAATTAGACCTGTTACTTGTACAAGGACTCACTATGGTCCTATCTGTATTAGACAAACAAAAAAACATGGAAATCTGGACCTGGAAATCACTTGTTTAGTTTCACCAAAAGAAATGTTCTTTCCCTCAAAGGAATGAGGAAGTTTATGGTATGGCTTGGGAACGAGAAGATTGAGGTGGGACCATGGAAGCAAGGCTGGTCCCTTTGTGGATGGTGAGCAAATTTGCCTTCAGGCACTGTCATCCACCTCTCACACTGAAAGAATATTTTGGGACCTTCTAAATTTCAATAGGGAGCTGTGGGTTCTAATCTGAGTGGCTGCTGTGGTGAGCGCTCCTGGCAGCCACTTAACCTCTGTTCACCCTTGCCTCCTTGGTCGTAAAATAGCAGTGGCAGAATCCACTGTGTTTATCTGCTTAAGGCAGACACCATAATGATGGTGACACAACACTGTAAATGTACCAACTGCTGAAATGGAGAACAAAATTATGTTGAAACTGGAAAATGGTGGGGCCTGAAGAATTCCTTTTCACACTTACAATTTCTATTCATTTTAATCTCAATGGATTACTGTCCTTTCATTCTACGAATGGAAATGAGGGAAAACAGCTCTCACAATCCTTATTCTTTGATTACCAAATGTTTCAGAAGCTTTACTTAAGTGAAAAGTATTTTCCCCCTTTCCCATGTCTACCACCTCTCCTAACATATATTCAGCTTGGAAAATTATTCAGAATTTGAACAGGTTGAGCAAAGAAATGCAGTCAGAAGTAGCAGATTCTAATACCAGCTATGCTGTGTGTTCATTATGAGACCTTGGGCAAGCCGTTAACAGTCCCCATACCTTAGTTTCCCACCTGTGAAACTACAGTGATACTTCTGATTAATTTCACAGAGGTAGGAGAGATAACTAATGATAAGGCACTTTGAAATATTAATTGTAATATAGACTACAAAATATCATGTAGGTGTTTTTGGCAAACTAAAGTATGGTGTTAGTTTGTACACCACAACTAGGAGATATTTTTGTAACACAATATCTGTGGCCAGGGTGATACCACCCACAAAACAATGACAGCTTATTGCATTTGAATGAAAATGCCACTGTTCCATTTGAGAGTTATATTGCTACAGACCCAACTAAGTAAAAAATATGATAACAGAAATGGGTGGGGAAGGGAAGCCTCTATTCCAGAAAAACATGGGATTTCCTCACACATGCCCCAGAAGAAAAACTACATTAAACTTCTTAAAAATGGATGCCACTATGTGAGTACAAGTCTGATGAAAGACTAAAATGATTGTGAGAAAATGGCCTGATATAAAAATTAGACAGACTGGTCAGAAGTACACCAGAAGATAGAAAAATAGTCTTAATTTAAAAATTTCATAACAAAATGAGTAACACTGAGGAATTAGACATTGGGGAAGGGAGGCTCATGTGCTCAGGGAGGAAAAATGGACTGCCAACCTAAGTAAAAACTAGGAACAGTAAGGCTACTAAGAAACAGGACAAAGAATATGGGCTCTGGAAATACCATAGACCGAGGGTTGGATTTTCTTTCCACTGCTTCCTAACTTTGAGACCTTGGACAAGTACCTTAGTTTCTCAGAGCCAGATGGAGTGGGGGTGGAGGTGATAAGGTTTTTCTTACTGGCTTGTTATGCGTCTCAAACAAGAGTCTCAAACTCTCAGCACAGGGCCAGGCTGATAGTGGGCCCTCTACCAGTAATAATAACCTCTAATATTAATTGAGCAATTACTTTATGCTCTGCACTGTTCTGAGCCTTTTCATCTAATGACTCACTTGATCCTTACAACTACCTTATGATGTCACTGCCATCTCTTCCTCACTTTCTATCTATGTGGAAGTACTATTCCAGGAATAGTATCCTGCTATGCAGTAAAAGTCAAAATTCTCTTTTTATAGGTACTGGAGATACTCCCAAAAATCTTAGTTTTCTATAGGCAACCTCTTCCTTGAACATACTAAGAAAGAAAATAGCATTTAAAACTACCATTGTCTTACTTTCATGTGGAGTGGGCTAATACAGCCTTTCCTGGTACCTAGAAAATCAGGCTACAGTGAGCACTCGGTAGCACATACATTACAGCAAAGCAAATGAGGGATTCAGAGTTTGGCAGAAAGAAGGCCATAGAAAACAAGTGCTTCAA